CCATTTGCTACCATGTGTAAGTCATTTCTCTTAGTTACCCCTCTGAGGAAACTTCCAGGATTCCATCTGTGAGTTATAAACCTTACTGCCAGTTTCCTATGACTGAGGAGGGTAGAATACTGAATATCTCAGTGTTTGGTTGGTAGTCATTCACATAATTTAAGACTAGTTTTGACACTTTCGTCTGTATCTGGTATTCCTGAATGTGGTTCAGCCTTTCAAGAATGTATTAAATAGGATAGGCTAAAGTTATGTAACAAATAGACACCAAAATGTATGTCTCAAACACAGTAGGATTTTATTTCTTGTTCTTTAAGATCTAAAATGGGTTTTCCTATTTGGCAAGCAGCTCTTCTGTATGTGGTGAATTAAGGACCCAGGCTTCTCGACCCTGTGGCTCTGCCATCCTTAGAGCCCCATCATCAACTGCATCTAGTCAGCAGAAAGGGAGAGAGAATTTACAAGGGGAAAGTACTTACCAGATAGTGAAGAGTAAAATGCATGACTGTAACTTAGAGAGGGAAGACGTTGCTAAGTGCTGAGACAATTTCCTACTCACTTTCTCACAGGTTTTAATTATCCGCCAAACGTTGTGAGTTAAGCTTTATCTCCAAGTGAGAAAGGTGAATTTCTGAGAGAGAAGTAATTTTCTCAGGTTCACTGCTGCTCAGTGGCACATCCAGGGTTTAAAGCCAGATTTTAAAACCAGTTCAGTTTACCATTTATTTTAAATCAGTTGAGAAATCAATTCACTTTTTAATCTCTTTTAGCTTTACTTGACCATCATGGATTGCTTTTACAGTGTCTTTATAATTTTTTATGCTTTATTTATTGTCAACATTGTATTGCGGGCCAGAGCATTAATGCAAGGGGCTGATAGGCTGTGTCCAAACCCATGGGGCCTGTTGTCTCTTTTGCCCCTTGTTAGGTCCTTCAGGATATTGCCTAGGATTTTCCCATACACACTTCATGATTGAACCTCACATGTCCCTCTATCTCTTATGAAGGTTGACAGACACATGGTTTATAACACTACACAGATTAAAATTCCTTCAGAAAATCATTCTGTGTTGTCTTTGCAAGATAGCTTAATGACATTAGTTGAAGTCGTCTTCATATTCAGGATGATTTTCTTCTTATATAGACACTGGATATTAAAAAATACAGTTCCCAATTTTCCCACTCTCTTGGAGTCATTGGAAGTTCGCACTCAGCACAAAATAAACATTGGAAATAGTTAGAGAAAAGTCATAATTTTACAGGCTGCCTTAGTATAAATTCTATTTCAAAGTATATTTCATTGAATAAGGGTCCTGAGCCTGTGAGCGTTCTGGAATGAGACCTCTTGGTAGATTCATGTGACTAGAGTCTCGTTTGTGATTACCTCTTCAGTGAGAGCTAGGCCCTCATTTGGTTGGTTAATTCTTTCCTCTTTCCTGTCTCGCTGACCTTCTCCTTCTTAAGAGGTTCTAATAAACATTGATTATTCTCAAATCATATATCCTATTCCTGTCTCTTTCAGAGAACATCAGTGATACCTATTTTGCAGACAAGAGAATATCAGATTCTAATGTGCCTGATATCATGTAGGAGCTGTTGTATATATTAATGTCTTTTACTTAATATTTTCTTTCTTATTCTCTTTCATTTCACTTTGTGAGGTTCATATTTCCATTTTACAGATAAAAACAGCAACCAAGAAGCTCAGAGAGACTAAGAGACAAAGGTAACAAAGTAAGTTGTTCAGATATGGTTCATTCATTTTAATACTCCCCGATAATCCAGTGTTTGAGTATACTGTTGGCCTGTATCTGCGGGTTCTGCTTTAGCGGGTTCTGCACCTGCGGATCAAAAACATTAAAAAAAAATTCCAAACAGTTCAAAGAGGAAAAAACTTGAATTTGCTGCCCACAGGCTACTATTTACATGGCATTTACATTCTGTGTACAGCTATTTCCATAGCATTTGCATTGTAGTAGGTATTGTAAGTATTCTAGAGATGATGAAGTATAAGGAGGATGTGCATAGATTGTATGCAAATACTACACTGTTCTCTCTAAGGGACTTGATCATGGCAGATTTTGGTATCTGCTGCGGTCTTGGAACCAATCCCCTGAAATACCAAGGGACATTTGTACTATAACTCTGTTATTTCTTCCCTATTGATTTTTAAGTGTTTCCATATGTTTATTTTATAAATAATGTTTCAGTGAGTAACTGGTACAGGGGAGTAGCTGGCAGGTAAACATGGTCACCTAACAGTTTATTGTTTAAGACTTTTAGATACAAAGCCATCACTGGCACTTAGTGATCTTACATTAGTCAAGACCAAGCTCCAGTTAATACTTGAAAATGTAGATCCTATATGTGGAGCATGGCAATTATTGTTTCTGCTTATCTCCTACAGCGTATCAGTATAGGTCACTAGGAATTCTATATGACCCTGTATAATGGGTGTATAAGACCGTTCTCATAACAAGAATCTGTTAGAATTTCTGTTTCTCTTAGATTAATATGCTATACATTGTTGTTTTCCAGTTTACTTACAGCCAGAAAAATTTAACGTATTTGAGTAATTTCACACTAATATTTCTGCATTTATTAAGTTTTCAAACCAAAGCAGTCCTTTGTGTGTGTGAGAATTTACAAGCTGCTGCTCTTATAATGTCAAAAACTGAACCAAAGTGAACCCCGTTAGGCTACTCTCAGACCTTTTTTAAATTAAATTAAATTGAATTAAATTAAATTCCATTTATTTATTTATTTATTTATTTATTTTTGGGCCGGGCCTTCCCCGACCAGGGTTTGAACCCAGGCCCCCTGCAGTGGAAGTACAGAGTGCTAACCACTGGACTGCCAGGAAATTCCCTCTCCGACCTCTTTCAATAGTTTCATTTTGGTACCAGACTTTTTCATGAACTCAGAGAAATCAGTCTTTCATTTGCACTGTCATTTTTTTTACCTCAATGATGTTTTAACTCTGAATAAAATAATTTTATTTTATTTATTGAACAGGTATTTTTCCCTGGGCTATTCTTCAGATACTGCGTGTGTGCATGTGTGTGTCCGCCTTGAGTCCTCAGTTGCATCAGTGAACTCTCAGATTCTCACTGACTTTCTCTTTGCAAGAAGAACATGTTAGTGGACATAATTATGTCCATCTGTGTCATCTCTGCGATGTCCTCTGTCCCGGCCAGCTTTGTCGTGTTCCTGATCCAGGGGTGCGTCAGCAAAGCGAAGCATCTGCAGTTCATCAGCGGAGTGAAGCCTGTCATCTACTGGCTCTCCAATTCTGTCTGGGACATGGTAAGAATGCTGGTCTGCCGCTGCTTTATAAACCTCCATCAGGGCTCTGGATTGGATGGATGAAAGGGCCCCTGGCCATCACCAGGAAATGTTCTAGCTAGTCCAAAGATGAATGAAAGAGGAAAAGGCAGACACAGTTGTACACTTTCATGTGACCAAACATGGCCTTAAGCACACGGCTGATCTCACGCCAGAGGAAATCCGTCCACACACACTGCAATTCATACCATCACCACCTCATTCCCTAAGTGGCAACTTTTCAAAAAACTGAGGTGGAAGACTCTTAGTCAAAACTCAAAGCCAGTGCCTCTAACACGTCTGATAGATTTTAGCCTTCAGAGTCAGGGTGTGCTTTGCCTTACTAGGAACTCATCTGTCCTTCAGATTCCTGAGGACCAGGTAAGTGAGAGGTGACCGTGCTTCCTGTTTTTCAGTTTTCCCATAGATAGTTAATTCATAATTTATTGTTTTTGCAGTATGTTAGAAACATAAAATAACATAGCTGTGAGTACAAGCTACCAGGAGAGCTTAGAAGTGCCAAATCTAGTTTAAGAAGGCTGAGGCACTCAACTAAAATAACAACTAAAGTTGTTTGTAAGAAAATCCTAGTATGTCTGTGATGGTACTGAAGAAATCCTTATAAGGTTACTAGCAGGCTATTTACTTGAGGTGACAATATTTACAATAAAGATAGTACATTATTACTGTCTCATTACCTTATGGCAACACAACAATAGCTCCAGAGATGGGATAAAAATATGAAACACAATAGAATCAGATTGTATATATAGGCTTTTATTAGGGCAGACATTTCCATAATTATAAATCTTATTAAAACAAATAGATGACCTAACACAACACTGTAAATCAGCTATACTTCAATTTTAAAAAAAACAATTGGATGACCAAGTATCTATTAAACAGTGATCCAAAATGAAGTAAAAATTAGTAAAATTAACTGTAAATGAAGGCACTGCAAGCACATAAACCAATGAGTTATCAATGTGCTTTAATACCAGGACCTAATAACATTATTTTCCAAGTAATTGATTAATTATTATTGTAAAAACCATTATTAACATAAATGACACAGATGATACTGTACTTTTCTGTAGTAAAGAAATGTTTAATGGATTTTTTTATGGATCCCAATTGGTATTATATAGAAAACCTTACTGAACAAAAACTTTTATAACCTCAGAAAAAGACATGATGAAAAGGTTGATAATTTATGCATATAATTTAACTATACTATCACAGGTATGGAAATGGAACAATCATTTGTATGTCAGAAAATGGTATAAAAGCAGAGGGTTGTCAAAATAGAGAACAAGAGATGTTCTGAAACAAATGAAAAATCAAGATACTGTAGTAATGGCAGCTATTTTTAATGTGTGACAGATACTGAAATACCAAGGGGAAAATGAACAGACTGTTTCCTGAAGTGGTGGTGACAGTGGATACAGAGTAGCTTTTAAAAAATGCAAGGGAGGGCTTCTCTGGTGGCGCAGTGCTTGAGAGTCCGCCTGCCGATGCAGGAGACGCGGG